GGGGACAACTAGCAGCAGCTCATATTTGTGCTGCTGCTAGTTGTCCCCAGGGAATGACCCTGCACGCACACTCTGGCATGTGACAAGTTCCCTGGGTTGGGTAGGGGAGGCTGGGGCCAGCACCTGGGCTTGCCCCAGCAGCCTTACCTGGGGTCCTGGGGGCCTTCCAGGGCTCCAGCAGCAGCAAACCGGATGTGCAGAGCCTGGCTGGCAGTTGGAGTGTGGCTCTAGTCAGCCAGGTTCTGGTTTTAGGAAGCACACACTACAGCCACGTGTACCACGCTGCTTTTTTTTTTTGGGGCAGGTTTTTTTGACTGCAGGATCTTCTGGGGTCAAAAAAACCCACCATGCTGAAAATTAGGAGTGTGGCGAATGCCTGTATGTGTGGTATATGTGGTTTGTGGCACTGCAAACTGCACACGCATGGTCATCTGAACACAGCCCTAGGTATCAAATGCCTGCACAGAACTTGTTGGGGTTATAGCAGGCTTTCTTCCTTGTGAGTAGAGACTGCTTTTAATTCTATATCCTGTTTCCAGGATTAGTGATAATGTCATTCCCAGTGCTTGAGAGAATGAACTTGCATTGCGGATGTTAATCACATCACTTAACGCACTACTGAGAGGCACTCAGGTAGTGGGATGAGGGGAGCAGAAGAACCTTTTAGTACTGAATAGATTCTGCAGCAATCATAGTCTATATGGAGGGCTGCACATTGGGAGCCATTTCCAATGCAGAATGCAACAATGTTATTTTGTCCTACAAAGTCCAGAAAAAAATCCTCTGTGTTCCTGAATGCCTGGTACTGGCATGTTCTCCAGCAACTACTTACATGTAAAAAGACATCTTTCTCTCATACAGCAATGGCATAACAATCACATTATTCAAAATGTGTCTTTCTTGAATAGCTTAGAATCCAGTGATTCCCAATGAGTTAAAGCTTTAGAAGAAGCAGACTGCAAACATATATGCCCGCGCCCTATTTTATCCAGGCATGTAGTCCCACTGGATCAGCTGGACTGTTCACATGTATAGATTTGTATTTGAAGCTTTAGGGCTGTGCTGGTCAACACTTACTACAGGATATGATGATTACTACAGTGGGTAGTAATTGTAAGCTGCTCAGAGCAAAGATGCATATTTTTAGTATTAGAGCTTTGTGGCATCAAGCACTGTGCAAATAATAATAATTTATAAGAATTAAAGCCCTCTGTGTATGCAGCAGTCCATTGCTTTCAGCTCCCTTTTCCTTGTAGCTCTTTCAAAGTAACATGAATTGTATTTTTCATCCCAAGCAAAGAAACAAAGTCTTGAGAGCAGCCAAAACAGCTGGAATAATCACTGGGTTTCATTATCTCAACTGCAGGCTGAGATAGTGAGTTCCAGAAATAGCAACAGAAAATGAATGAGAGAGAGGAGGGGGGGAAAAACCCAAACACTAGAATGCTGAGGGTTTGTTTCATAGTAGGAAGGAGGAGGAGATTGGAAATGAAAGTTGCATTAAAGTAACCCAATGTGTAAAAAAGTCATTCTGTAAGCATGGTAAAGAAATAGCCACAAAGACATAGACACAATTATAAACCTCCACCCTCCCAACCTTTGTTTGCTCAGCTGGCACAACCATCGTTTTTTGTTATCTTTTTGTTGAGTGCTTCTGATTCAACCAAATTGATGAAAACCAAACAAAATTCTTTCTGCTTCAGAGAAATAACATTGTCTCCTGCAGAAATGCCATGCAACACTATCTCATTTTAAAAAGCGCTGGTCTACCTCCAGACAGGCTATAAGGATGAGAAAAGGAAAATAAAGACCAAACAAATCCATATGCAGAGGGCGGTGTAAAGAAGTTTGCACAGGGCTGTGTAATGCTTCTTATGTAGCGGCTCAGAGTCCAAGCTGGTAATCAGGAGCCCTTCACAAGCAATGCTTTC